CGACCGCCGTCCGGTGACTCATGATGCTCTTCGAGCCCTTGAGGACGAGGTCCTTCGTAATCAGAGCTCCGCTGAGCGTCATTCTGAAGTAGCATATCACTGTGCTGACGTTCTTGACGATTTGAAGCACGCCGTGCGCCGGCTGCCTCACCTTGAGGACTACCGCACTCTGTCGGAGCGACTCCTTGCCGTGGAGCAGGCGAATGCGTCGCTGCATGCGACGGTGGAGCGCTCGGCGCCATTGAAAATGGAGGTCGTTGCACTACGTGCTCAGAACCAGTTGCTGGTTCAGCTTCTGGGTGGCCGCGGGCCCGTGGGATCCGCCCCGGCGCCAACGCTTCCGCGTTCACTTGCGCCGGATCCCGGTACGGCTTGAGCAAGCCCACGTAAAATACCGGGTGAGTGCGCATCTGTTTTGAAAGGTTCAGCGTATACGCTAGGCCCCGTTTGGCCACACCTTAAACGGTCCGATAAAGTGTGGACGAAGCCTTGTCCGGAAGATAGCATAGGCTGCATGTTTAGGCAGGTTCTTAGAATTAAATAAATAAAGGTCCCCGACCTAAAAGCTCTCCACTTTGCCTCTTCCTTTTTCATCTGCATATTCTTTCTGCAGGTCTTGACTTTCAGCAATCACATCGCGAAAGTGTCATAGGACACTCAGTCTGATAGACAAGAAGTCATCGACTTCTTTGCGGATGCTGAGGGGGCTGACATCAGCTAGCCGTTCGGCTATTCATCTCCCACCAAGCCGTGAGCCATGGGATGGCGGCGTCAGCGAGATGCAAGGGTGAATCAGCCCGTTCACGTAGAACGGCGTGACGCCGGTAGATGAATGCACTGCATTGTTCAAAGCAAACTCTACGAGTGGCAACATGGCGCTCCAGCGCCTTGGCGTCTCAGCGCAGACGCTGCGAAGAACATCTTCAATGACGCCATTCGCCCTATCGGTTTGACCATCAGACTGCGGATGATCCGCTGTCGACATGTTCAACTTGGTGCCTAGCACCTTGAAGATAGTCGACCAAAATGTTT